ATGTCACAATGCAATGGAGATTGTGCCTGTGAAAGGTGTAGAAGAAGATTCAGGCGGTTCAATAACTATGTTGGTTAGGAAATTGCCTGAATCTAGACCAGGTTGGCCTTTGCTTCGCCGTGCTGTGTCTTCATTAGGACAATCCGTTACTTCTCATAAGCATTCGTCTAAACAGATACCGGTTGTTCAATGGGCTTTGAAGCTTCCTCCGAGGGACGCTAAGCAATCTGGTTATGATTCTTCTGAAGATAACTTGTCAAGCTTAAACACAATTGTTCCATTTGGTATTAACTCTGTCACCAAGATGTCTTCTCCTGACAATAGTCCAAGAAAACTGCCGGAGGAATTAGAGGGACTTTATGAGAAATTCTCTTCGACTTGCCGGTTTTTCAAGTACAAGGAACTTGTTTCAGTGACATCAAATTTCTCCTCTGGTTTGTTCTTCTCTTCTCTATGGATGACATGTTTATAGTTCTTGAAAATTTTCAAGTCTCTTGTTATGTAACTAAGAAAAGCATTTTGATTTCAGATAATTTCATCGGAAAAGGAGGCAGCAGCCGGGTTTTTAGAGGTTGTTTGTCCAATGGAAGAGTGGTTGCAGTGAAAATTCTCAAGCAAACCGAAGATGTCTTGACCGACTTCGTTGCTGAGATTGAGATTATCACAACATTACACCAGAAGAACATTATCTCCCTCTTAGGCTTTTGCTTTGAAGACAATAACCTATTACTTGTATACAATTATCTCTCGAGAGGAAGCCTCGAAGAGAACCTTCACGGTACTTGTTAGACAAGCTCATGTCTTTTTTAAGTAACTCAAGAGATTCTATTATGATCAAGGATCTAACAAATGCTTGGTTTTAAAACCAGGAAACAAGAAAGATCCGCTTTCATTTCGATGGAGCGAGAGATATAAAGTGGCTATGGGAATCGCCGAGGCATTAGACTATCTGCATAACAGTGCTTCGCAACCCGTCATCCACAGAGATGTTAAGTCATCAAACATACTATTATCTGATGATTTTGAGCCACAGGTACTATTGGTTTTTCATGTATCAAATACGAAGGAAAATAAATGCGAGAATACTAAAAAGATTAGTATACCTTGTTTCCAGCTTTCTGATTTCGGGCTTGCGAGGTGGGCGTCTATATCTACAACTCACATAGTCTGCTCGGATGTCGCGGGAACCTTTGGGTATGGAAGAATCCCTTTTGATGTTTCATAAAAGTTCTTGAAAATGTTCTTGTGCTAATCTTATATTTTTGTTCCAGCTACTTGGCTCCAGAGTACTTTATGTATGGTAAGGTGAATGATAAGATAGATGTGTATGCGTTCGGTGTTGTACTCCTCGAGCTACTTTCTGGAAGAAAACCGATTAGCAGCGGATGTCCAAAGGGACAAGAGAGTCTAGTCATGTGGGTATGTATTGCTGCATACCCATTAACTTTAAACCAAGCTTTTTCTCTGCTCTTGTTGAATCAAGTATGTATGATGATTATCTATGTACAGGCCAAACCAATTCTTGATGAAGGAAAGTATTCTGAGTTATTAGACTCGAGTTTACGGGATAACAACAACAACAATGGTGACCAAATGCAGAGGATGGCTTTAGCTGCTACTCTTTGTATTCGACGTAGCCCTCAAGCTAGACCGAAAATGAGCATCGTAAGTCAAATACTTTTATCTACTAGCCTCTTCAAAACATATCTCTATTCAGATGTCTTGATGAATGTCGAATGATACAGGTATTAAAGCTACTTAAAGGCGATGAAGACACGCTTAAATGGGCAATGCAACAAGTGAGTAGTTCATCAGAAGAAGCAGAGATGCTCAAAGATGAGCAATGCCAAAGATCTAACTTGCAGTCACACCTTAACGTAGCGCTTCTTGATGTTGAAGATGACTCTATCTCCATGGGAAGCATCGAGCAAGGCATCTCTGTTGAGGATTATCTCAAAGGCAGGACTAGCCGTTCTTCGAGCTTCGACTAAACGCCCTCTCACTAAAACTATTGTGTGTGTGTTAGTGTGTATATATGGATGGGTGGTGGATTTGTGGGGCTCTTTTTAGCCCTCATCTGTCCCCGGTTTAGTGTTGTAATTGTAGATTTCAATTGTTTGGGGATGTGTTTGGCAATTTTCGTCTTCTTTGTAAGTCCTTTTTTTGGGAAACTTCTTATAGTTGTTGTGGTAATAAAACGAAAGAGAAATGCTTTGTAAACAGAGCCAAAAATGCTCTGTCGTATCCCTTCTTTAGGAATAAAAGGAGAAATTGTTAGTGTTTTACTAATCATAGTGTTACTTATTATTTTTTTTAATACAATTAGTGAGAACTTGAATTTAAAAGAAAAGATCTTTTAATAATAATGATGATGTGAACTAAACAACACATAATATGTTACAACAGGCTTGTTCGTTTGTCTGATGTAGGAGAAACAATATTCGTTTGCCTAACGCAAATTCCTGTGGCCAAACGTTGCAAAGGAATATGACCAATAGCGATTTGAAATTTGAATTATAAACGCGAATTTGGCACGGATAAAATTTTCCTACACGTGTCAAAGTGAGGCCTATGGGCCTAAGTCCACCCATAAAGGAAAGGAGCAGCATAATAAACCCATAAAGCACCCCGATGGGAGATTTTGAAACTCTCTTGATCTCTGCGTTTCGAGGCAAACAAATTAAAGGAACCTTGG